GGCGGGCGCCCGCCCGCCGAGGACGATGGGAGTCGTAGTCTACCGCAACAGGCGGCTGCGGCGGGCGGCCCCGCTTCCCGGCAGCCTTCCCCGGCAGCGCCGCTGCTCACCTGGGCCAGCTCCTCCCGGCAGACGGCGCAGTAGCGGACCCCGCAGAGCGCTCGCATCCGCACGGAGCACCGGTAGCAGATGGGGTGCTCGCAGCGGCCCAAGGCCACCACCTCCAGCTCGCCGCAGCACAGCACGCAGCTGCCCGGCCCGTCCGCGCTGCGCGACTCCAAGGGAGGCGAAGCCGCCATGGCGCCCCAACGCCCGACTCGACGCGACTGCCCGGACGGCCACGCCGCCGCCGCCGCCGCCGCTGCGGCCTACTAGGCCCTACGCGCAGCCTAGCAACCGCCCCTCGCCCGCACAAAGATGGAAGCCTAGAGCGCCGCCCCCGCGCCGGGCCGAAGAGCCAGACGGCCACGCCTAAAGATGGGCGCCTAGGCAGCAACTTCCGGGCTTCGCTGCTGTTTTTTTTTTCTCCCAGGAGGCGGCGACAATGGGGAAATCTCGGACAGCAGCTTGTGGTTGCCTTGCCGAGCCTTTCCCGCTAGGCAGCGCACGGCGGAAGAGTAAACTTTGCTGAGTGATTAAGTCCCCCCGCCTTATTCTGGGATCCCGCCGCGGGATTTCCTAGTAGTGCCCCATCCACGACATATCCAAGCCTAACCCTTCTTATATTTTGGGGACCAGCGAGGTCTGTCTGGCATCACAGCGCTAGAAGGGACCGCAAGGATCATCTGCTCTGCAATGTGCAGGGAAACTAATTAAACCTTCCCCAGAAGTTAGGGTCTGCGGCCCTCCCCAGTCTGGAGCACTATTAACAACGTCAGCAATTGCGATGTTCTTGGTAGGTGTACCCGGAAGTTCCGTATCCAAACAACTCTACTCTCTTTGTCTCCCTCCTCCACGGACTTCCCTTCTCTCCGCCCCCTCTGAGCTTAGAGTCGCTCTAGGGCCGCCCCTCTCTGTCTCCTAGAACGCCTCCCCGCTCCGCCCCGGAGCTCCCAGAGCGTCGCAGCCGCCGCGATCCCAGCATGGTGTACGGCGCCCTCTTCAGGCAGGAGGTTGTGTTTGCAGCACAGAATGCGAGCTGGCGTAGAGTACAGCGCCGGCTAAGGCTCTTGATTTGGTCCAAAAATCAAGATCGTTAGAAGTAACAGGAAGGAATATAAAGTTGCTTTCTTTGATCAAGGTTAAAATATATATGCTGTTATCTCTGGTAGCCCTTAAAGCAGGGCTCCTCAACCTTGGCCACTTTAAGATGGGTGGACTTCAATTCCCAGAATTCCCCAGCCAGCCTTGCT